ATATATATATATATATATATATATATATATATATATATATATATATCAGTGAGATACTGTATCCATGAAGTATTTAATAACCACTGAAATCCATATAGTCCGTCGTTGCTGTCGCTGCACTGCTAAGCTATATCGACTAAAAACACAAGGGAGGCGATGACCGGGCCATCATTCTAAATCTCCTTTTAAGTGCAATGCGTCACTGACATATATTCCCATTGAACCACGAGCCACTCACAAATGTTTCTTTTGTGGTCGCGCGTCACTCACATATATTCCTTTTGCATCATGCAACCCTCGCATATTATTATATCCCTTTGGCATCATGAGTCACTTAAATATATCCCTTTTGTATCTTGAGTCACTCACATATATTCCTATTGTATCATAGGAGACTCACATATATTCCTTAGGTATCATGAGTCACTCACATATATTCCTTTTGTATCATGCAACTTTCAAATATTATCATATTCCTTTTGTATATTGTTACTGACATATATTCCGTTTGTATCATGAGTCACTCACATATATTCCTTTTGTGTCATACATCACTCATATGTATTACTTTTGTATCTTAAGTAACTCACATATATCCCTTTGGTATCATGAGTCACTCACATATGTATCCTTTTGTGGTCGCGCGTCCCTCCCATATATCCAATTTTTAGCACGAGTCACTCACACGGCATCCCGCTGGTTCAGCAATCGGGGATTATAAAAAAAAAAAATGTCTGAAAATACTGGTTGTACTAACTCTAAATACGAAATTAATAGCGTAACGGCAGACCCGCCCCCGTCTCCAGCTCAGAGTGAGTTAACCTATGATATTTTATGGGGGGGGGGTGTGATGGGAGGAGGTCTTATTGATTGATTTGATATTTATATCGCGCTGGTATCCATGCCACGTTAGCATGCTTATCATTCCATGCCTTAATCCGAGAATAGGTATCCAGTACACGTCGTAGGAACCCGAACACGCTCTTCGCGAATCACCATCGATTTGCGGTTACCTTTATAAGATGCGAGCTCTTAACCCATCCCCTGAGATTATCTTTGAATATACCTAACAGAGAATGAGTTTATGCAAAGCATCACTGGGTTTTTCGTTCATCGCCGCTCTAATCTGCAGATGCGTTTTGGCAGTGCCCGTTTTGTTGGACCCGAACGAGTTGCCGGTATGGAGTTGGGCCTCGGACTCGGGGTCGGGGGATGAGTCCCCTGTAATCATCACTTGTGGGGTAAGTACCCTTTCTTTCTTTAATTTATTATTATTTTTTGTTTGTTTACATCTGCCAATTTTTAATTTTTTTTAATAAAGGTTTATTAAGGAAGGAAAGCGTTTCAAGCCGTGCGATGGAGATGTTGGAACAAGGTATGTGGAAGCTTGAAGTATCAAAACAAAGATTACAGGAGTCTTTTGAACACCCAACTTCCGGAAATAACGTCAACGGCGAACTCCAAAACAACTTAAGTTTTTGAACTACTTTCTATTTCTTGTTGGTTTTCTTCATTTGTTCTGGTATGTGGAAGCTTGAAATATAACGTATGGTACGGTATAGGAGTGAAATTTTTTTTGAAGTGAGAAGCGCCAGGGCTCTGCTTGTCTTGAGCAAGTTAAAGTAGGTGTCCACGGGGCCTATTAGTAATCTTCAAATCGATTTTTTGTATATTTTTCATTTTGAATAAATTTTCTACGAGTATCCCCAACAGGTTTAAGTGCCCTAAATCAGGTGTCAGCCGTGTTTTGCTGCAAAGCATTGGGGTTATGTTGGTTTTTTTTTTATATAGTTTTTTTTTTATAGTTTTTTTTTTTTTTTTCCCGTGTTTTGCTGCAAAGCATTGGGGTTATGTTGGTTTTTTTTTTATATAGTTTTTTTTTTATAGTTTTTTTTTTTTTTTCCCCTGGGGTCAAGATGGAACAAGCACCATCGAGTGATACATTTTATGTTTAGATATTTAAGAATACGCCTATGAATTTTGTCACCGTGGGTTATCTTTAGCGTGCGACGGAAGTCAGGCGCCGGCTCTTGCATTTTCATATTATCGATCAAACGCTACACTTGCTTTTCATGATATCGTGGTAGCATGTACAGACCGACCGAAAGTGATTTTCTGATTTCGGCTGAAACCGAAACTAGGCCGAAAGTTGAAAATGAATTTTGGCCGAAACCGAAGCCGAAACCAAAAGCTTAGTGAGACTGAATCCGAAATAGAAATATTTGGATATTTTGAGATTAGCTCACGCATACATTCTGCATGCATCACACATGATGGGGGAAAGTATCAATATTTACATTCTTTTTATAAAATGAAATCATCATGAATATCAATAAATAAACATCTCAGGCAGGGTTCTCAAAATCACGGCTTGCGGGCCATTTGCGGCCCGCAAGACGATATTTTGCTGCCTGCTACATGAAAGCAAAGTTATTGTTAATGCGGCCGGCACGTTTTTCCAGTTCTCATTTCTATAATGTGATCCGCTGCGATGGTTTTGGTCGAATCTCACCGACTAGTCTGATTCTGATTTTTATTACGTTTCTATATATTTGTATTTTGTTACTAATGGTGAGAACTATTTTAAAATCAGAGAACAAAAGTTTTTATTTTATAGCCTTTTGAAAATTTTGAAAAGTCTCGATTTGTAAAATTATGATTGTGCATTTCCCACCAACTGACTTTTAAAACTTTTCTCAAAACTGATTGCTAAGATTTTCACAATTATGGTTGTGCATTACCCTCCAATTAGCATTCGGATACAGTATCAAAGAATCCTTATTAAAATTGCCCCTAGTGTTTACTTGTGGGTGAAATTCCGAGCCTGTCAGCTTGGTCACTTTCAAAATAGTGTTGCCTACGATAAAAAAAAAATCAAAATTCATTCTCCCTACAATAGCTTCTTCCTTCGCATCAATAATTCATAAATATGGCCTGCTCCTGCCTACTGTTTGAACACGTTTTAGCTTTCATAAGGAAATGATGGGGGTGGTTGTTCCTGTACTAAAGATCTCAAATGGATCATGGACTTGGCTTTTCTTGTTAAAATTACACAGGAGCTGAATGTACTCAACAAGAATTAACAAGACCAGGGGTAGCTTGTCAGTGTTACCTATGACACTGTCGGGGCATTCTGCACAAAACTTTTGTTATGGCTCCTCTGCCAATTTTCCAAGCATGCAAAGCACTCATGGACTCGGGTGAACCATTCCGTAGTAACTTAGTAGTAAGTATATTGATGCCATTGCAAAACTACAAGAAGAATTTGATCACATTTCTTAGACTTCAAAACACACACAGCCATTTTCAGCTTTTTGCTGACCCTTGCTCCTTTGATGTGGAAGATGCCCCAACCCCCATACTTTTTTTAAAACCTTTTTTACGCTTTAAATGGAGCTGGTTGGTCTTCAGTGCAATTAAAAGTTCAAGGAAGTGAATGGAAAAACAGAAAAGCATGGACATTTAAGGAGAGCATTGCCCTCCATCTTCACTGATATTTCTAGGTTGTTGAAGCGGATCATGTGCCTTTTTGGGAGTACCTATTTGTGTGAAAAGCCTTTTTCTTCAATGAACTTTAACAAGTCAAAATTCAGGGCCAATCTTACTGAAGAGCATCTGAGGGTCTCAGTTGCTGCTTTACTCAAGACAAAGCTGCTCAGCTGTGTAAGAAGAAGTGCCGCCATGAGGTCTCTGGCAACAAGGAGTATGAGGGAGAAAGTGAAGCCTAGTTCTTGAAAACCTAATAATCTTTTTATTTGTATTTTATAAAGGTTGAGTAGATTGTAACAGTTGTACTTAAATGAATTGTCTTTTTTGTGGAATACGTGATGCGGCCCACTCTCACTCAGACTCTACCTCCTGCGGCCCCCGGAGGAATTAAGTTTGAGATCCATGATCTAATGCAGGGGTCTCCAAACTTTTCAGCCCAAGGGCCGCATTAACTATCAAACAGCATTTCGGGGGCCGACTTCAGACTCGAGGTCCAAATAAAAAAGAATCAAAACATCGATGTTGTTTTTAATATTTATGTAATATTATTTAATTCAGATATTATTTAATTATACATTGATATACGACACATGAACACCTGTATTAGTGAGAATGGTAAAATTGTTTCCTGGATGCTAAAATAGCAGTGATTAGCAGACATATCTGGATTTACATTTCATGTCCCTAACATCAACAGTTACCTGAGATTATCATCGGACAAATTTGTTCTCATATTGTTCTCCACGTATTTTGTTCTTGAAAATGTTTATTCACACAGTGATGTTGCTCCAAAGATTGAAAGGATCCTTGATGCAAAAGTTTTGAAATTAGGAATGTCGTCCTTCTGCGAAAACTGGTAAAAACCCACCAGTCCTTCTTTTAACTTGTCGCTTAGGAGGTAATTTGCTTGCAACTCAATGACCTCCGGGTGAATTCATCTGGGCGACTGGCCACGTCTGCTTCAAATGGGTTTTGAAAAAGTCTCACTTCTTGCCCTTAAATCCAAGTCAGGAAAACCACTGCTAAAACTGCAGCTGTGGGTCTTTGATGATCTCGCATGCAAATGACGTGGGGAACTCCGCTGTTGCTTCAGCCATTAAGACCGTCCACTGTTGAAAATGCGTCAAGTTGTTACCCTCTACTTTTTACAAATAACCAGACGAAACGTCCCTATCTTTTTGACCTGTTCTCTAATTCAAGCCTCCACAGATCTCGTTTTGCTATTTCATTAATTTACTAGGCTTGAATGCAGTCCTTTAAGTTATATTTTTAGTCATAAAAGTAAACAGGTCTGCAGAAGGTCTACCATATAATTGTAATACCAAACCGTGATAGATGCACACGCGTGTTATTTCGTCAATAACAATGTTTATGAGCATGATAATGATTAATTTCAAGAAATTAATGCTTGAAAAAGGCCTAAGTTCCTTTATTTTATAATTAAATAATAATAATAATAATAATAATAATAATTGAAATATTAAAATTCCTTAGGATTATTCAATATTATTTACCTTTGCCTACGTCAACATCGATGAGCATGATAATGATAAATCAAAATGTATCACAATTGAAGAAATCAAATAAACTTAGGGTTCTAAATTTTATGTTTGAAAAAAAAATGTATATAATTATTTTCATTCCCTTAGTTTTTCTTCCAGATTTTTCTTACATATGCTTATAAGGCCGTATTGAAATGAAATTTTTTGGAAACATAGGGCAAGTAGGTGATCAAGCAGCCGTGGACAGATTAAGGCGTAATCTAAAGATGGCAACTCCTTAGTGACAGGGCCGTCTTAAGAACATGGGGGGCCCTGGGCACAGCAATGCACTGGGGCCCCCAGCAACACAGCACACCAGGGTCGTTTGAGGGGGGGGGAAGTGGTGCACACGCCCCATGCTGAATCATAGGGGGGGGGGCGCAAACATTTGTTGCAACCAACCCAAATCAACAAGAGGAATAAAATTGCAAATATGAATAAACACTCAATAACGTTCAAAATAGCTTAATTCAACTTATTTATACAAAAACAAAAACATTTCAATTCAATAATGGTTTAAAAACATCAGAAATATATTATAATTCATCCCAGATAATGATAAATTATCAGGTTGTCCATTTGATTCTTTAGTCTTTCTGCCTCACGCCTCGTTTTTCCTTTTCCTGATCACTGTCAGCTGTTACACAGTCCAGAGCATCTTGTATTTTTTTCGAAACGTTGACGGCATCAAAATGTGGCGACCATCTTGTGTCAGACAGATGCTTTACGACAACGAGAAATTTTCCTAAGGAAGATACCAGAACATTCCATCGATGTGTAGAAGCTGAGAAAAGAGTATATAGGCCCTGAAAAAAGTCAAACAAGTATCCAATTTGTAGTCAACACTCTGCTGCTTTTAAGCCCACTAAGTCCAGACTGTGTCCAGCACAAGGGACATACACGGCAAACTCGTTCAATTGACGCATCCATGCTTGCAATCCAGTGTAGCGACCATAGGCATACAAATTTAAAGCTTTGTCACACGATTGACCACGGCAAATTGAAGGCGGAATTTTGTTCTCATTCAGGAAATCCAAAAAAATTGTCTGCTAGATCCTTTGATACAAAACAGTGTCTGCTAGATCCTCTGCTCCATGGGGAAATATGGAAATTAACTTGATAAAATGTTCCACAGACTTACATCCTCGAATGTCCCTGACCGTAAATGTCAGTTGATCAATGTGTGAAATGTCTGAAGTGGAATAATAACTTATTGAATATTACTTTGACTCTGTAATGTCTTCCAGAATAGGACAAATGACATGTTGCCCAATTAGATCTATAAATTACTCTAAAATATTTGCCGACAGATGTGATGTGTTATCCTTCCCAGCATGTCCATTATAGTTTGAGATGCTCCTCCAAAAAAAAAAAAAGGATTACATTCACTCAGCAGCTCTAAAATACCTAAGCACTTTCCATTGTTTACTGACCCAATAGTTTGATCCTAAACCCTGGAGGCAAGGAAGCGAACGCCATAAACCCCCACGAGTCAGAACTTTATGCCAGAACTTCTGTTTTGACCTGTGGTCTTTGATGAATAAAGGACCTAAACACCTAGCTTCTTTCAGTCGAAGCAAATATGCGGTCATGACCTTGCGATGCACTACTCCATTTTCATGTTCTACAATTAGATTGTTATGTTTCCAATAATTGAATCCTGCTATAACAAAGGGAAATACTTTTTTTCGTACAATAGACGACACGCAAAACAATACAAACAACCTTGGTGTGGTGAATAGAGAAGCCATTCAAGTTTTACACACTCGCCATGCCGCAGGTCACGTTTGAACATATTTCTTGATAAATACCTTGTCTTAGTTCTTTCTTCTCCAGCTCTGCCTGAGTTTGAAATGTTGCAGTCATGATTCTGACACAATGATGGCCCACCGCGAATTTAGTACCCAACTGTACAAGTGTTCTTAATATTCCCTAAGCCCGGGATCTGTGTTGTGAATCACACACTCTCGTTTTCTGACACAGTTTTGTGTGCTTCAGTTTTTACAATTTCCCCAGCAGAGGTAATAGGTAATGGTATTGTCTGGAACTAGATGGCTGCATCCAATAGAGGATGTAAATGACGCTAATTTATTTTGATGAGCAGTATTAGTCACTGATATTTCGATTGGATTTAACCAAGATGTTAATTTTGCAAGTTTACCCGTTTTCCTTGTCTCCTCAGCTCTTTTTATTTTTTGTGCTCCAATTATAAAACTATTTTTTATACCCGCTTAAGGGGTTAAACACCTAGAAATATTCATTGTTTACAAGTATTTCTATAGCAATAGCAGCAATCCGTTTAAAATGGATTGCTCTGTCCCTTCAGACTGACGTGTGCCCCGCTAAAAATGAACATCGGGAAATGATCATAGCCATGGTGCAATTAATAAAATTGATCTCTGTCTTTGAGATACCAGGAATGTAAGATGAAAATGACATTGAGCTTTAAACACTGAGCACAATTATGTATAAATGCCTATATATTTCTGCCTACAGCTCAGACATACGGTGACTGTTGGGTTCTATTTATCATCTAAGTATGTTTTTCAAACACAGAATAAAAAATATTTTTCTGTTTAAAAAAATATAAAGTTATTTGGTTTATTTTGTATATTTTTTAAATTAACTAACTTTTAAAAAGAAGCATTCATTGGTGACCTACATATTCCTTATATAATGCTAATTAAGTTCAGTAGTACTTGAACTGGTGCTAGGATAGATTTTTTCCACTAATTTAACTACGGAGCAGTCGCGTACCTAAGGTTAATACCGCCCGGTGCCAACATCTTTGTTTGACTTGATTGTAAACAAATGCTCTAACTTCATTATTTTTCGAATCATAACTGGGAGAAGTAAAACTTATTGACGAGAGTTATTCCCCTTTAAAAGTTTAAAAAGTATCCAACTTGTGATTCGCATTTAAAATATTAATTTTGGAACGTGCCAATAAAATCGTAGGTTAAAATTGGGAAAGATGCTGTCCACTGATTTTTAAATCAAATATAATTTCCAAAACGTTTCAATATTCATTAACAATATTTGCAACATAATGCTTTTATAAGAGTGAGTCTCCTGGAAGCAAGGGGGCCCCCAGAAGTGCGGGGCCCTGGGCAAGTGCCCACTGTGTCCATGCCTTAAGACGGCCCTGCTTAGTGAAAGAAAAAGCCTTTCTATATAAAGCCTTTGTCCGTCCGGTTTTAGATTACACATCTTCAGTCTGGGACCCATTTACCCAGAAGAGCATTGGCAGGTTGGAGGCTGTCCAGCGACGAGCATCACGCTTTGTCCTTAACAGCTAAACTAACACCTCTAGTGTTGGCAGCATGCTGGAAACACTAGGCTGATCACCATTGGAGGAACGACGACGACTATCCAGGCTCTCCATGATGTGCAAGATAGATAATGGGCTGGTCCACTGTTGCAGTATTAAACAGAAACTCGTCTCTTTCCCCCATAGACAGCGACGAGGCCATGACAGGCAGTTCCGGCTGATACCAGCAAGAAGCCAGTACATGAACTGCTCATTCCTGACCAATACAATCGGGGACTGGAACAATCTTTCAAAAGGAACAGTTGAGGCGACACCACTAGACACATTTGTGTCTATTGTCTCAAGCCTTCAAACCCTCAGTGCATGATTCCATCACAAAGAAGCACTTGCAACCAGTGAAATGTCCTCGTCAACATCACGCACAGAAACATTGCAAATCCCCTCTACATGCATAGGAGCCAAAATGATCAATAAATTGATCGTGGGCCCTTAATATATAGAAGAAGAAGATTTCGCTGAGTATTAGTCATATAACATAAGATGACAGCAAGACATCGATCAATAATGAAGATCTGATTGCCTAGAGACTGACAGACAGAGACGAAAAGCTCAGTCCCTTTCGGAGGAAACCCAAATTAAACCAAAAGTTAAATTTTCCAGTCTTCTAATGATAGATATAAAGAATAACTCATACATTTCACCAACTTCTACACCCCCCCATGCCCAGGTAAAAACACCAAACCCCCCCCCCCCGCCCAGGGTAAAACCCGGAACCCCCCCCCCCCCCGGGACAAAAATTTAAAAACCTGAAAGACAACTATTTTATTTCGTTTATTTGTTCAGGATAAACCACCGGAGACCGACTGCTTCAAGTGTCCAGAGTGTTACGATGGAAAATGGGAGTGCTACTCCATTGACTGCGTCCCCGTTAGGGGTATTTGCGTGGATTCGGTCCGTGACCCAGGAAAATGCTGCGCCAGGTGCCCTAATGGTGAGTCATGTTAGCACTATCTATAACTTCCAGGTGAGTCATCAGCACTACCTATAACTTCCAGGTGAGTCGTCAGCACTACCTATAACGTCCAGGTGAGTCGTCAGCACTACCTATAACTTCCAAGTGAGTCATGTAAGCACTACCTATAACTTGCAGGTGAGTCATGTAAGCACTACCTATAACTTTCACGTGAGTCGTGTGAGGACTATATATGTCCTTCAGGGGTGTCGTTTTAGGACTACATATGTCCTTCAGGCGAGTCGTGTTAGGACGACATACGTCCCCCAGGCGAGTCGTTTTAGGACTACATTTGTCCTTTAGGCGAGACGTTTTATGACTACGTATGTCCTTCAGGCGAGTTGTTTTAGAACTACATACGTCCGTCAGGCGACACGTTTTAGGTCTATATATGTTCTTCAGGCGAGTCATTCTAGGACTACGTATAATACCCTTCTGTTAAGCCGTGTTAGGACTACATATGTCCTTCAGGCGAGTCACGTTAGGACTACATATATCCTTCAGGCGAGTTGTTTTAGGACTACATCTATCCTTTAGGCAAGTTGTGTTAGGATTACATATGGCATTCAGGTGAGTCATGTTAGCACTATCTAAAACTTTCAGGCGAGTCGTATTAGGACTATATCTTTCTGTTATATAGAGCTTGTTATATAATTTTTCTCGTGCGTGCACTCTGATTGACCCCGCATGAGACGCTGTGTTCACATATGGGTGTGGCTTAGTCTTTTGATCTGTCGTGTTGATGCCGACAGCCACCAAAAATAATTAATCTGTTCCAAATAGTATTTTGTAGAATGATTGTGATTGTTCTAGAAACGTCGTAAGTCTTTCTGGAAGGCAGGGCTTACGCGACCTATATAAGGGATTGACAGGCACGGACGGAGAGACGGAGATTCAGATAGGTTTTATTAACTTCACGAGACGTGTATTGTTCTTTGTGTTCTTATAAATGTGTTTATTTCGCATTTCATCATTATTCATTGGCACATTATTCTAACTGTGTTAACTGTATACCGGTACAAGATCTACCATACTGTAAGTCGATGATTTGTAATGATATTTCTTTTCTTTTGTAATTACATTAATACTTATTAAATTTGATAAATTGTAACTAGAAACTGTTTTGGGTGTCGTATCTTTAATATTGTTGACGCTATGTTACAGTATCGTCCTTTGTTAGGCACTGCTTACAACGAGCAAATTAAAATTAAAATAGGAGATTAATTTCTCATATTAGAAGCAAGTGCGTAACACTTTCCTTCAGGTGAGTCATGTTAGCACTGCCTATAACTTTCAGGCGAGTCGTGTTACGACTACATCTTTCCTTCAGGTTAGTCGTTTGATGACTACACATGTCCTTCAGGTGAGTCATGCTCGGACTACATCTGTCTATTGAGCGAGTCGTGTTAGGACTATATCTTTCCTTCAGGCGAGTTGCGTTAAGACCACGCATGGCATTTAGGTGAGCGGGGTTAGGATTACCTATGACCTTCAGAAGAGTCATGTTAGGACTACCAATGACCTTCGGGTGAATCATGATAGAACTATCTGCGCCCAACTCGTGGACAAGGCAGGTCTACTATTGCCTTAACGGTAGAGCGACTAGTGTCCTATTGGGGATTCAATCATTTTTAAACTTTTAGGGCACAAATGGTAATTTTTGTTTGAGCCGCATGTCCTGAAATCATAAATTTTAATAATTTTTATTCAGGAAATTTCTTTTGCTTTTTGGTTGGTTTTTTTTTCCTGTTTTTTTGGTGGGTTTTGGTTTGGGTTTGAAAAAGGGGGGGGGGGGGGGGGCAAAAAAAGAAAGTTTATTTTTGATTTTTTTGAAGGGTGGTGAATTTCTTTGTTATTTCCCCAGAAAGTGTTCAGCCTGTAACGTAATAATATGTGCTCACTTTGTCTCCCCACCAAAGGTCCCAACTGTAAGATCAACAATCAGATAGTGAGCGTGGGTCAGTCAATAGTCATGGGCAATGGTGGTGTGTGTTCCTGCTTGTCCGCCTCCAGTTCAGAACCATCGCAGACTGTCTGCTTGCCACCATCACCCCGAGAGACCACAAAGAAGAAACCAAAGACGACGCCCAAAGAAAAGAGCAGGAAAACACCTGCGACCACAACCAGGAGAACACCAACACCCAAGAAACCTGCAGAGACCACACGCAGGCCAACTCCAGCGGCCACAAAACGTGTCCCGACAACCCAGAAGACCCCACGGAGAGTCAGGTCCTAGAACACGCTGTGGGTTTTGCGCAAAGTTGATAAAACTATTTGATATTTATATAGTTTTATCGATAGTTTTAAAGTAACCAAGGAAATCAGATGTTAAACATTTCGAAGACTTTCAAAAAAAAAATAATAATAATAAATAAATAAAATAAATCATAATAATAATATTATTTTAAGTAACCATTATTTCAATAGTTCAAATTCGATTTAAAAAATAAAAAATCCTGATATGACGTTATTTAAATAATTGAAATTCAAAATCCCTTGTGTTTCGTTTATTAAATTGTCTTGTTGGTTCTTTTCTTGCTTTAGAGTTTGGAGTCTATATGTCTGCATTAAAAAAAAAAAAAAACACACACACAAAAAAGCTTGGCGTCATAGATGAAAACAAAAAAAAAAAAAACCTGATATGACATTATTTAAATAATTGAAATTCAAACTCCCTTTTTTTTTGTTTATTAAATTTTCTTGTTGGTTCTTTTCTTGCTTTAGAGTTTGGAGTTTATATGTTTGCATTAAAAAAAAAAAAAAACACACACACAAAAAAGCTTGGCGTCATAGATGATAACCTTGAATTTCAGCTTACATCATGTCTGTAGCATTCCGCGGTTTCACATCGACGGAAGCGTTAACCACGTGTTACTTTGCTCGTGCTAATGCATGGCCAACAGATTAAAATACATACGGAACTCTCCCCGATAAAGTGCCCGTGGCTGTTGACGCTGGCTATCAAAAGAAATAAGAAGTCATTAATGTTAAACCCCCTCCCCCCTCCCCTTAAAGCCCTTAAGGCATTTGAAGGAAGTCTGAAGAATAGATTTTCTACGCCAGTGGTTCTCAACCTTTCTGTTGCCGCGACCCCTTTAATACAGTTCCTCATGCGTGGCGACCTCCAACCACAAAATAATTTTCGTTGATACTTAATAACCGTAGAGTGTTTGTTTTCAGATGGTCTTAGGCGACTCCTGTGAAAGGGTCGTGCGACCCCCCAAAGGGGTTTGTGACCCACAGGTTGAGAACCGCTGTTCTACGCCAATATTCAGCAGTAAACTATGGCTCAGTAAGGATGCTTCTTGCGTGATGCACTTGTCGGGTGGGCAGTGCCACAGTCGCATAAGTGGGATTGAGGGGGAGGGGGCTGGTTCTTCCTTGGCGGCACTTTAAACAAAAAAATATTAGTTATGGATGCTATTGTATTTTTTTTTTGTGAACTGACGAATTATTTTTCACCGCGGATGAGGGACGGCAATTTTTTTTCTGATGCCCAGACGAGACGGCACTAATCCTAGTTACGCCAATTAGGCAGTGCATCAATCAGAGCCAAAATTAGCATTAACTCCACCCCCACTTGGCCAACATAAACTTAACTCATTTTGGCAACCCAGATAGTATGTTTTTGGTCCAAAGTAAGTTTTATCCTTGGAGTCTATAAAGTCTAACTATATGCACACAATTAAATTAAAACATATTTGTAAGTTACAAACAAACAATAAATACATTTTTTATATATATATATATATATATATATATATATATATATATATATATATATATATATATATATTCGGCCAGTTCCCGAATGGGCCCGCCATTTAGCACCTTGGCCGAGTCGTGTAACCAATGTCCGATGTACTGGAGATGGCCAGTGTTTATGCTACTTTGGCCGGCCACTTCCCGAATGGCCGGCAAACCCCTGGCCAATTTTCGATGTGCTGATGCAAGAAAGAGGTAGGGAAGCAGATGACGGGCTCGGAGGGAAAAATTACTTGCTGACGATGTCACAATAAAGTAGAAATCTTGAACAAGTGGTCAGCAGCTCATGCGAGTTTGCAAACCCAAGGTGCCAAGATTCTAAAAAAATTCAGACGCAAAATTCTCCACCAGCGAAAGTTGGAGATGATGTACGCATCCGTATACAAGATGTTGTCAGAGGTCGCGGTGATCCACGAAGCGTCCTTGCAGTTGCTATGAACGTCGATGGCGCTTTCCACTCGCTAGGAGCAGAACACGGGTTTTCTCAAACAACTGTATTTCAGAAGTGAGTTCTCCATTCTGCACGAAAAACGGCTCACACCGACATCCGTGGGCACAGAAGAAAAAAATCACCACGAACCGTCACGTCTTCACCATCCTTGACCGGCGGCCAAGACTTACACTCGAGGTGTCTTCACCATCCCTGACCGGCGGCCAAGACTTACACTCGATGTGTCTTCACCATCCCTGACCAGCTGCCAAGACTTACACTCGATGTGTCTTCACCGTCCCTGACCGGCGGCCAAGACTTACACTCGATGTGTCTTCACCGTCCCTGACCGGCGGCCAAGACTTACACTCGATGTGTCTTCACCGTTCCTGACCGGCGGCCAAGATTTACACTCGATGTGTCTTCACCGTCCCTGACCGGCGGCCAAGACTTACACTCGATGTGTCTTCACCATCCCTGACCGGCGGCCAAGACTTACACTCGATGTGTCTTCACCGTCCCTGACCGGCGGCCAAGACTTACACTCGATGTGTCTTCACCGTCCCTGACCGGCGGCCAAGATTTACACTCGATGTGTCTTTACCGTCCCTGACCGGCGGCCAAGACTTACACTCGATGTGTCTTCACCATCCATGACCGGCGGCCAAGCTTACACTCGATGTGCCTTCACCGTCCCTGACCGGCGGCCAAGACTTACACTCGATGCGCTTGCACTACCAAGTGCCCAACAAATCACTGCTATTGTAAAAATACAAAACTGCTGGGCAATTTGTAATGTCATAAAAGATAATCTTTTTGTAAGAAGTGATGATAGAGATTGATAATTTACTATAACAAACAAATATGACTGATTTCGGTAATTTAGTATAATTTATAATCAATATATATATGATGTGATTATCATTACGGCATACTAACAACTAAAATCTGATCATGACCCTTTTCTTCCGACTTTGGCCGATCGCCCCCATGCCATTTTGCAAACTGGCCGTCCAACTCCCGAAATCAAGAAAAGATCGGAAATTGGCCGGTCAATGTGAGACGATGTTGGCCAGTTCCCACTTTAGCCGATTTCGGGCTTTGGTCGTTATATAATGTGTATAAATATTATTTTTTTAAACTGATTAATAACAGCATGTTTTGTGTGTGTGTAAAATTGGTTGCCTAAGTATTGTCAACTCTCAAACCCATTATTTTCATCAATAACATAATGTCAAAGCACATTTGGCACCCCCTAACTTACTTGTGCCCGTGAACATCTGCCCCCGCCCCACCCCCCTTTCGCTACGCCTCTGATTTTGAATAAATGTTTGCCTTACAAAAAAACTATTGCCGTCATAAAAAGAAAGTATAATAATTACATTTTCTAAACATTTCCAAGCTTTGCCAGATAAAAAAAAAATACTGTTTTGTAGAAAAGGTATCTATACCCTATCCTACTTCTATGACTCCCATATCCTATTCCTTATTACACCCCTATCCTACTCCCATGACACCTCTATCCTACTCTTATTACACCCATATCCTTCTCCTATTACACCCTATCCTATTCCTATTACACCCCTAACCAGTCTGGGTAGGGATAAGGATAATAAGTGAAAATTAAGATTTTTGTATTCGAAAATAAATTCATTTTTGCATTTTATTTATTCTTTCCTAAGTACAAGATCACGATCAAATTAACTTTACTTGACGAGCCTTGCGTGTAGCCAAGTCATACAGTGTTACGCACTGACTTGTATTGGGAGAAATTAATCTCCTATTTTAATTTTAATTGGCTCGTTGTAAACAGTGCCTAACAAAGGACGATACCATAAAATCAACAATATTAAAGATACGACCCAAAACAGTTTCTAGTTACAATTAATTAAGATTTATTATGTCTTAAGATAATTACAAAAGAAAAGAAAAATATAATTACAATTTTCAACTTACAGTATGGTAGATCTTGTACCGGTACACAGTTAACACAGTTAGAATAATGTGCCAATAAATAATGCGAAATAAACACATATGAGCACACAAATAAACAAGGAATAAAACACGCCTCGTAATGTTAAGAAAATCTATCTGAAAATCTCCCTCCTCGTCGTGCCTGTCAATCCCTTATATACATGTAGAGTAAGACGCTTCCAGAAGGGCTTATGACGTGTTGTTTACATATCTCGGGTTAAGGAGTATATTCCAGAAATTACCCGAAGACATTCTACCCAATGCGTAATTGGAAGCCGATTGTAAACAAGATACTTCAAAGACCTAAGCCACACCCCTTTGTGAACACAGCGTCTCATGCGGGGTCAATCAGAGGGCACGCACGAGAAATATTATGTAAACAAGCTCTCTGTAACATCCAGTATATCATCAAAATTATGTTTCCTACATAGATCACGCTCAATAGCAAGAATTGCCAAATTGTTCAATCTATCTTCGTGAATTGTTGACCTCAAGTCATTCTTGATTAGTTTGAGGCGCGAGAAGCTACATGTTTATAAGTCATAATGGTTTAATGTAATAATTTTCACCTAGAATTAGCGCGGGGCCTGTGAAAGTCCGGGGCCCACTTCGGCCGCGTAGGTTTCAGTGGCCGGCCCTGTTTACATCCTTATCCTAATCCTATTACACCCCTACCCTACTCCTATTGCACCCCTATCCTAATCCTATTACGCCTCTATCCTACTATGAAAGTTGATCTCACTTTGTGAAGAAAATGTAATTGAAAACATATTATATTTCTTCTTTTAGATACTTGGAAGCAACTATTTCCAAATATCATTATACAAGTCTTTATATATATATATATATATATATATATATATATATGTATGATACGATGGGAAGGTAGTTTAATTCTGTATTGTTCAGTGCATTGGTCACCCTTGCCCCACACTTTTCCCACACGTGCCCAACCCTTGCCCCACACTTGTCCCCATAATGTATGTTTTAAACCAGGGATGTTAGACCAAACAAAAAAATAACACCAAAAGAGCAACAACCAAAAACAAACAGATTAATATTTGACAAAAGTGAAGAAAGCTGCGTCAGATCATCAGCAGCGGCTCGTATTCGGAATTACACGGTATCTAGAATCCGATACTGTATCTAGATTTACCTTAAAACTACCCAGTCAGCCCTCATCAAAATATATCAGGTGTGGCTTATATTTCATTGCTTCAAATAGTTCATTAACTTTAATCGGTGAAGGTTCTCATTTAAATACTCTTTATTTTAAATTTATAACAAAGGAAAATTTCATTTTTTTTTTAAAGTAACATTTTTATATTTACCCCCTCCCCCCCCCCCCCATCATTAACTTTAATCGGTGAAGGTTTTCATTTAAATACTCTTTATTTTAAATTTATAAAAAAGGAAAATTTTATTTTTTTTTTAAAGTAACATTTTTATATTTTCCCCCCCCCCCCCCCCCCACACACATATTTTTTTTATCTCTCTCTCCCCTGCCCTACTGGAGAGATTCCTGAATACAGGAACTGCTCGTATTGCTTTTTCCTTGACACATTTATTGTTAAATTTTCCCAATTCTTACTTTGCACACTTCTCATTATGGATGCTTCTTACTTGGCGCACTCCATACTCCGGCACATTTATTACTTGGTACCCTTCATACTTTGCAAAGTTCTAGCCTGGCATACTAATTACTCGGCACACTTCTTACTTTGCAAACCTCTTACTCGGAACACTTCTTACTCGGAACACTTCTTATTCGCCACACATCTTACTTTCAACTGCTTGAAACAATGATCACCATTCGTCGAGTCTTACATAATCTAAAAAATATCATGTGTAGTTGAATCTATGTTAATCAACTCCATCTCTAGCAAATTTTTTATCTAATCTATATCTATTTAAATCATATAAAAATCAGTCTATTTCTAGCCATTTCTTTTCAAATCAATTCCTAGCCATGTCTTATCAGCCTATTTCCAGCCATGTATTATCAAACTAATAAACATCTGATCTCTCCTCCTCTAATGCTAATTTTGTCTGATTCAATAGCCAGAAACATTTTAATGTGTCTACTTATCAACCTAACAATGTTAAATTTACGTGGACAAATCATATCACTCACTCCCCCCCCCTCTCTATCCCTGTCAACTTAATCTGTACGAATTCCGGCTCTGTGAGTCCCTCCATGGTTGTCTCCCCTGTCACGTGAGCGTTTGTGTGGCATGAACTCTCAATGCGTTCAAACACCCACCCCCCACCCTTTTTTCTCTCCAGTGTATTGGAGTATGTTTGAAATGTAGCAGTTGGTAATAAACACCAACAAACAAGCTAATGGCCGCCTGTTCCTTTGAAGAGATGACCGCATTAGAAGTTATTGACAAGGGAATGGCGTCTTTCTCCGATGTCAACAGGATTAGTTGATCGACAGGGTGCGAACCGGGTCGATAGCCGTTTTAGATGTCGTTGCCGCTGCTGCTGTTGTTGTTGCTGCTGCTGTAGTTTCCGCTGTTGCTGTTTTTGCTGCTGCTGCTGGAGTTGCCGCTGCTGCTGTTGTTGTTGATGCTGCTGGAGTTGCCACTGCTGCTGTTGTTGCCGCTGCTGCTGTCGTTACTTTTGCTATTGTTGTTGGGGGGGGATGGGGGGTCCTGTTGTCTGCGTTGCTTGTGTCTTGCTGTCACTGTTGTTGTTGATGTGAATTACGATGAAATAAACCAAAAGGGACAACCATATGCAAGAATCAAGAGACATGGGTGTCCTTTAAATTTTGTGTATAGGGAAAAAAATTGCGTAAAGAAAATCAAATACAAACAAACGCCCCCGCCTTAGAAACTTAGAAAAAAAAAAAAAAAAAAAAAAAAAAAAAAAAAAAAAA